TTTTGATGGGCTCTCCCTCAGGAGTAGGTTCTACAGCTTGTGGTTCAGTCTTTTTGACCACTTTAACAAATTTCGGCGGGCTTCCAGCTCTCTCCTTAGATAGCTTTGGGCATGAGGCTCTAACATGTCCCTCCTGGTTGCAAAGGAAACACACGATCCTACGTGGCACAGGCTTAGAGATGGCATCCCCTTGCTTGGCTCCCTGACCTTCCTTGTCAGTTCTACCCTGTGGGACCCATTCCTTCTGCTTCTTGAACATTGGGGGGACCATCTCAAAGTCTCCCTCCATCCCGTCCAACACTGAAGCGCACTCGGCCACTGTCTGGATCTTCTTATCCTTAATGAACCAACGTAACTGAGCTGGGACCAGTTTATAAAACTGTTCCATACAGATCAGATCTCTCAAAGCCTCAAAGGTGGTCACCTTACTACCCTCCAGCCATCGTACTAGAGCTTTTTTAATCCTAGCCCCTACTTGGGAAAATGTCTCCCCAGGCTTCCTCTTAATTTCTCTGAAGGTCTTTCGGCTTTGCTGTGGGGTTAGCCCAAACCGAACCTTCACTCTTTCCTTGAAGACAGAGTAGTTAGACCATTCTGTAGTTGTCAAGCTGGCATAAACTTCACTCAGTTCCCCACAGATTAATGGTCTCAAGTGTGCCATTCTTTTTTCCTCTGGCACCCCAAAATCTGCACACGCCCTCTCGAAGCTCGCGAGGAAACTCTCTACACAATCCCCCTTTGTGTATTTGGGAAAGTGTTTTACATAGGAAGTTACGGGTTCAGCAGGGATGGCACTTGGGTTGGATGTGGGTTGTCTATCTCTCATTTGTAACTCCATCATCCTCTCCTCATGTTTCATCCTCTCAGCTTCGTGTCTCATTCTCTCTCTTTCTCTTTCTATTTCTAGCTGTCTTACATTCTCTCTTTCTCTAGCCTCAAACTGTCTTTCTTTCTCTCTTTCCTCAGCTTCACGTTGTCTTTCATTCTCTCTGGCTTGAAACTCCATCTTTCGCAACTCCATCTCAAGCCTTAACTTTTCAATTTCTAAAGAGGTAGCCACTGTCTCTGGGTCTCCCCTCTCTACAGTCTCAGCCTCCATTTCGGCTCCCTCCTGTTCCTCTGTGTGAGTGTGAACCACAGGAGCTTTTTTCTGCTTTGGAGGTGCCATGTTGCTGTATACTGGTGTATTCTAGCAGTTTCTGAGGTAAAACTTCCTCAGAAACGATTTGGCTCAAACTCTTACCTCACAAAATCACACCACCCCACTGGATTTAGGCTTAAAGTCACGTATCCCGCCGCTGGTCACCACTATAAAGGATTTAAGAGATATCTGGGCAGGGTGGAACAATCAATCCCACCGCTGCCACCAATATAAAGAATTTAAAAGGCTTATCGAGGCAGGGTGGTCACAACGATCACACCTCTGCCCTCAGTATAATACAAATTAGAGGTTTGACCACAGGATAAATGTGAAAGTGACCGAATGTTCTTGGTAATATTTGCCGCCGCCACCTCAGAAATTACTGGCCTGAGGAACCAAAAGGGTGTGAATGTATTTTAAGTAAAAGGATATTTGAGCTCTTGGACTTCTATGGCTGACTGGACTTTAGAAATGTATTGAGAGAATGAGTTCTGAGGGAAACGAATGGATTGAGGCAAACACCAGTTAAAAGTAAACTAATAAAGAGTTTATTTAAACTTGATAATAACAACAACTCGTTGGAAATGAGTGGTACAGAATCTTGATGCGATTGCAATAACTTGGTTGCTTGAACAGACAGTTCCCCTGACAGAATAGCTTTTACAGCTGTGAGTCCCTTTAACAAACTGTTCTACTTTTAGACACAGTTTCTCTTAGAGCACAGACTCCAGTCTGCCTCACTCACTGGGCTATAAGGTATCTTTAAACCTCTCTTCAGTTTAATAAGACACAGCTCTCTTTTACTAGTCCTCTCAACGTAGTAAAACTCTACAGCTCTTTCCCTCTCTAAGCTGACTCCCCCCCCAATTGCTACACCCAATCAGGAGTCAGCCTGACTCCTCCTCCTGCTCTGCTTGAAGACCAAGATGCCAGACACTGCTATGCAGGCTTCGGCCTAGCCGACTAAAAGGTAGATCTATCACAGCTGCCTTTTCAGAGAGTGGTCTTTGGAGAAGCAGCTGCAGGCATCAAAACAAGTATCGGAACAGGCTTTGTGGCTTGAGGCATCTGCATGCTTAAATCAGTCCATCTGAATAGTGTCATTTGGGCAAACAGACCCCATGGTTTGTATCTAGCAGTATCTAGCAGCCTTCAACAAGAGGTTTGCCTGACACTTTTTGAAGAAGCAATGCCTTGGTCTGACCACACCTGGAATAGTGTGTCCAATTCTGGGCACTGCAATTGAAGGGAGATTTTGACAAGCTGAAATGTGTCCAGAGGAGGGTGACTAATGATCAAGGGTCTGGAGAACAAGCCCTATGAGGAGCAGCTTAAAGAGCAAGGCATGTTTAGACTGCAGAAGAGAAGGCTGAGAGGAGATGTGATAGCCATGTATAAATATGTGAGAGGAAGTCATAGGGAGGAGGGAGCGAACTTGTTTTCTGCTGCTTGGGGGACTAGGACGCGGAACAATGGCTTCATACTACAAGAAAGGAGATTCCACCTGAACATGAGGAAGTACTTCCTGACTGTGAGAGCTGTTCAGTTGTGGAACTAAAGGCCCCTTTTTTGGTGACTTTTAAAAAGAAGCTGAGTATATGTTGGGATTGCGTTGAATGCGATTTTCCTGCTTCTTAGCAGGGGGTTGGACTGGATGGCCCATGAAGTCTTTTCGAACTCTATGATTCTATGATTCTATGATTTACATCCAAAAGTAGATGGGATTTGAGGGGTAAGTTATTTTTTAAATAGTTGTATAGATATTCATTATACGTAGTCACATTACCAGAAGCATTGGTTCAGGATGAGCATCCCTTATCCAAAATTCCAAAATGCTCAAAAATACAAAATTTTCTACATGGGTAGCAGAGATATGAGCAAAGCTCGTACTAACAGCTTTGCTTTCTGACAGTTCAGTGTACAGTAACTTCATTTCATTCACATTTTTAAAAAAATATTGTATGAAGATACCTTCAGGTATAATTATAAAGAGTATACGAAATATAAATGAGTTGTTTGCTTATATTTGGGCTCCATCTCCAAGATACCTGATTATGTACATAACTGCAAATGCAGGTATTCCAAAATTTAACCCCCAAAAATCAAATTCTCAAACACTAATGCAGCAGAAAAGATATCTCTGTTGACTCATCATTGAAGCTAAACCCAACCATCACACTAAGTAACAACAACAACTAGCCTTTTCCCCATCTGAGACTCAGGGCGGCTTAAAAAGATTTTAAAAGATTAAGATATAAAATGAATAATATGCAAAAATTTAAAATATAATTAAACTAATGTTAACATTAAAAGCAAGAGCATTAAAAAGAAAACAGTAGATAAATAGTAGAGTTCTAAAAGGCATTTTCAATATTGAGCAATCAGCCTTCCAAAAGGAATAGGTCTACCTACAAAAAATAGCAGGGAGTGTGCTAGTCCAAAGAGAGAAGAACCTCTCCAGAAGGTCTCAAAACATGGTCAAGATCACATGGGAGAATGTGGCCAACCTAGACCTGAGCCTCATTAGAGAAGGTAACTTAATATGTAACCATAGCATATTATTTTCTGCTCCTGTTAAGGCCCTGATGTCTTTCCTTTCCATGTCAGCTATTAGTCTTGTAGGCAAAATAACCACTCTTGCCAACAGGATATTTTTTTTTTGCAAGGTTACAAGGAGCTTCTTCTTCAGGATCACAACTGAGGAAAAAAATATTATTTTTTCCCTTACTACTGCATTGTAGCCCCCAAAAAACTGTGGTGGAAGGATGCCAAAATTGGGGCAAAAAAGTTGGTGCTAACAACTTATGACTCATACTTTCTTTGATTGCTTTTGGTTGGTTCTCTATCAATGTAACTGGTATTTAGTAACTTGCCTTATGTTATTTCTCACATTATAAGACAGGGCAAAATTTCACTGAGGGCCCTGGGAGATGCACCCATCCCATTTTCCATTCCACCACCATTGACCACATCCATCCAGTCTTCCAAAACTATGTGTGACTGGACATATTTTGTCAGATAGCTGAAACCACAGATAACTGTCCCACAGATACAGGGGTTATACAATACAAAAGTTTTGATTATGTTATTCTCCATTGTATATGCATTATATTGCCAATAGGGCCACTAAAACTGTATTTCTTGAAATGTCCTGATCCCCAAGAATGTTTCAGAATCCACTTATGGTACAGCTTTTTTCTGGGGGGGGACGACGACGATGGGATGGATGGGTGGGGGGACACGGGCTACAGGATAGTATAGTAGGCTTGCTCAACTTCACTTTTTTAAACATATTTTTTTCAATGCAATAGATTTTGCTACTTCAACTACACAGTTTCAAAATCCCTGGAAACCCCTGCCATGCACTAATGCGCACTTTGCTACAAACATTTCTAGCATTAAAGCATTTCCCAGTTCATTTCATTCATCAAAGGTATGTGAAGAAAGCATTTCTACAACTATTAGCTGAGGAACAATCACAGACAAGGACACAGGCCAATAGCCTCTGAGCTGAGAATCAATATCTTAGAGTGTTTCCCCAAGAGGACTTTTAAAAACCCACTGCTGCAGCTATGTGAAAGGGAGAAGGCTCTACAGATCAAGTTACCAGCCTGATCTGATGTTTTTAATAGACAATAAATCTGGCTGCAGCCATGGCTCAGTCTCAGTCGCAATTGTTAAAGCCAGAGAATTTTTAAAGAAAAAGCCTGCACAAGGGCTTATAAATATTTATTACCATTCCACAAATCTTTTAAAGCAGACATATAACTAGTTGACACTTAATTACCGAGCACTGTTTCAGTGTTGCTTCATATCATGTAGGATTATGCTTGGATTAAAATGACCTGCATTGCCTTACCTGGTACATTCCGACTCCAATGTGTTTGGGCTCAATTTTCACTAGCTCAGCTAATGGGTCCTGTACCCGTCTAGCTATGGAAACTAGGGAGAAAACAGAGCAGAAATAGGGTGTTTTGTGAAATGGAGGAGCAAAAAGTACTTTTCGATGTGTCTAGTGTTGCAAACCTTCACTCTGCACTTTGATACATGAAAAATTAAACCACAGCATAGGTGAAAATGCAGTGTGATACCAGGAAATTTATTATCAATCTATCTACAAAAAACAAGCCCATCACTACCAATAATGTCAACTGAAAAGTATGCTAATTATATGTTTTCTAAAAAATGAAAATTCAAGCAAGAGATTACAAGCACCACATGGCATGGTAATCAGATATCAATATCCTTTGCTAACTTTGGAAGCAGCCATTAATCACTTTAGGCAAATGACATAAACAGATGAAATTTTGTATTTATGCAGATTTTTTCCCACCCTTCTAATACTCAAGGTGAATTGCAACTATTTAAAATCATGTAACAAAATACAGTAAAATGCATTTATACACAATAAAAATACAACAAACCACAGAAACATTGCTTATTAAAAACATTGAAATTGTGTGCATCAATTAATAAAATCATGGCGTTGCAATTCAAAAATATAGACAACTAAAACGTAACAGTCAATTTTTCATTGTGACTGAGTCCCTCTACGGAGGTGAGAAGATCGGGATATAAAGGTTTTAAATAAATATAATAAATAAATAGATTAATTTTATTAATGTATTATAATATCGATTTTTATTATAGCTGCCTTGTTCTATGCTCAGTTATAATGCTACCACTATTAAAGCTATACATTTTTAGTGAATATTTTCAGTATTCTTTCAAAATATTAACGTCATCATACACTTTATTCAGTATTTTCTGCTTTATGATAACCAATATTAATCTCAGTAGCATAAAAGCTTCAGAGAACCACTACTCCACTTAATGTTCTCTCAGCAACAGCAAGAGCATCCCTCTGGGCAGCTAAACCAGGAAATCCCAATTGGATCCCCCTCCCCCCAAGGGTCTGCTTCCAGGGGCAAACCAAGAATGGGCAACTTGGAAGTCCCTGAACAGATCCAGAAGCGGACTGGGCAGATCAAAAGAAAACCTGGCAAAATGGCATCTCCTAAAAGGATCCTCCACCTTGTGCAGCTATGGAGCAGAACAAACAACTGTATGCTTGTCCACAATGCCCTGCCTCATTTACAGAGGAAACATTGTTTACAGCTATAGACAATGCAGTTGCTGTTGCCCATTTTTGGTCAAGAAAACATTTAGCCACTTTTGCTCCTTCTATTTTTATCAGTTTTAAGCTTATTTAGGTAATGCTTTTGATACAAAATATAAATAAATAAATCTTAGTTGTATGTGATATACAAAAACACACAATTATTTTAGCTATTAAACAATGAAAGTGATTGTCTAATATGGTTCACACAGTCCAGTCTAGAAAATCTCTTATTGCACACATGTTATCTGAGTTTACTTTGCATATCTTGTATATATAAATACAGAGACAGATAAAAACAGAAAAGAAACATACATATAAAATCTTATATGCCATCAAGTATGTGAGGTTGCTATGGCTATGATCTATACCTCAACTTGTGTGTTAATATGTTATTTAGCAAAAAATCATATGATTTTTTTTCAGTTTGTAGTTTTCAATGCATCATTTTTCTATGACTGCATATACCCAACATAGAGGAAACATGGTTACAATTTCTAGAACATTTAATTCAATAGTTAGATGGATTAATCAGATGAAAAATGTGTCCCCAACTAACTGAGCTACAACTGAGATAGACAAACAGTAGTTTCTGGCAGGCCCCATCTTAATGGAGCAATGGTTGTACTCCAGGTTTTAGAACAAGTTTAAAAGGAGCTTTCCAAGGTGCTGACTCGAGGAGGAGGAGGAGGAGGAAGAGGAGGAGGAGGAGAAGATGATTTCCTCCCCCTTTCCCAATTTGCTACTAAAAACATCTGATAACAAATTTAAAAAAAACAAATTGTTAAAATTACACAAAATACAAAAGTTAAAAAGCTGAATGTTGTTAATATATGAACATTCTATGGCATTGTGAGAAATGCAAATAGTAGTTCCTCAACACCTGGCGCTATCTGGAGGAATGAGACTGTCTAATATGTAACATGATTTTTGTTCTTGGGTTATAAATGTAAGTTCCTAATTGGTTCTATCATAAAAACATGGACAACATTTATTAAACGACAGAAACTTTGTTTTTGTATATATTTTCATTAAGGAAAATGACAAAAATTTGGGTTTCAGGTAATAGAAGGATAAGAAACAAAAACGAAATTTCTGAAGTATACCAACTATTTTCAAAGTAAGTGCCACACAATTCAACAGGAAATAACACTTTTAAACCAGGAACAGAAATAATTTTATCTCTGCATGGCAAATAGCTTTTTAGGAAATAACAACAAACATGAAAGAGGTTTTTTTTTTTGGATCAGCTTAAATAAAGAAAGTATTCAAAAAAGATGGCTTGATTAAACAGAATCCTCTTGGAGCCAAATTTGACCTCTATGAACATGAAGCTTTGTTCCACGTCCCCATGGAAGATAAAGAGCCAGGCACTGTAGCTTTAGTATCTAAAGTTGGATACAAGCTGCATGGTCGTACTTTGTGGCCTGCTTTAGTAGATGTTGTGAAAGAACCTTAGCAAAATTCCCTGAAGTAATCAAAGCATCTCACAACTGTTATGATTCTTGAATAATGCTTCTCTAAACAAACAAGACGTGGGATGCTAATCCAAGTTGGATGGAGCATCAGTGCAAATGGCCCAATGTCTACTGATAAAACCCAAGGAAGCAAATGCAAAAGCAGGGTGACAGCTGAATATTCATTTAAAAATAATGAAGACCACAGGTATATAACTTTAAACTGGATGATGAAGGCATTGAAATAAAAGTTTTTCTACTTTGATATTGTCATAAATCCAATGGTTCTGAAATTTTGGTCCTCCAAAAGTTTGGGACTTCATCTACCAGAATTCCCAACTCTTAGCGAAGCTATTTTTTAGGCTTCTGGGGGTTGAAGTTCAAAGACACCTGGAGGAGCAAAGTGTAAGGACTGCTGCATTAATCAAAATGAAATCAAATAATTAAAAAAGGGCAACTATGGAAGAACTAGATAAAATATTAAATGTACATATATATATATAACAGAATACTGTGTTTGGGTGTGTAAGATGGACAATGAAGACAGCTGGCAGAAAAATGATCAACTCATATGGAATGCGGTGCTGGAGAAGACTTCTACAGATACAATAAATAAATAAATGGATCCAAGAGCAAATTAAGTTTGAACTCTCACTACAAGTCAAATGACTCAGCTGAATTTTCATATTTTGGATGTGATTCATTGGGAAAAATGGCAGAGGAAGACCACACCACACTGACTCTTGAATAACTCAATCAAGAAAGGCATGGTTCTGAGTTTGTAAGATCTGAGCAGGTCTATAGATCACCAAGATTCTTCAAAATTGTTCATTCAGAATGTTAACATAAGTAAATGCTGACTTGATGACTAATAGAACAGCAATGTTTGTGTGGAGAAAATGACTCTTTGTGTGTATTTCGTCTGGAAGGCTATCACAATCACCCACTGGAATTTGTTACATTATAAAAATAGTAACTAACTGTGAGGGGGGAGTGACAGTGGTACAGGTGAGCACATTACTGAATCACCTCCCATCAAACATTCACAGACTATAAGTGCCTTCAAGATTAACATAAAGGACAATGGAATAATACAGCAATTGATAAAGAGCGATATAAAGTCTAAAAGGGTGTGTAGGGTTGGAGAGGAGCAAAAGAGAAAAAGGGGAAAGGAAAGGGGGGAGGGAGAGATGGTGGGAGAGAAAAGAATGGACCTAGAGAGATGGAAATAAAATACTGAGCTTTCAAACTTAGCCAGTTTTGTAGAATAGGGATGTGAAAAATGGCACATCATATGTCCAGCAACGCCAGAAGTGCTAGAAGTAACACTTCCACGTTCTTAGAATCCATTATTTTGGAAGTATTGCTCAGAGGTAGACTCAAAGCTATTTACTCAGATGTTGATGCTTTAAGAGAGCTAATAATTTACTGAGAGCTAATATCTCAAATACATACAAACACACAGAGAGAATTAGAGACCACTTAATGAGTCTCTGCCATTCAAAGATCTACATCCCCACCTTCTGATAAAGATAAAGATGCATATTTATCATTAAGTTCGCTACTTGATTATATGCAAGCTTTCACATCCTTTATTACAAGTTTTAACACACACCAACGATGGCAGCTTGTAAGCTTGACTTAGAAAGAATTACACTGGTGACACCCGATCTGCTGGCTTCTACAAAAGAGAACTTGCACATTTGAAGGCTTTCAGATATGCCTTTCTTGTCAAAATCACAAAAGGTTAATCACTGCAAGCACTACAGCTCAGAAGAGAAAAGCTTTCCTATAATAATCACCCATGTAATTATGGATTGGCATTCCAGTGGTAGAGATCAAGAATAGTCTTTAAAGGATAGTATTGTTTTACCAAGGAAGAATTGATGGGAAAGTATGAAGGGGTGGAGTAAAGGGTTAAAAAGAAAATAGGGAGAAAAGGATAAACACTGAATATCCTGCAAAAAAAATCTATCCGATCATATAAAATGGGGCATGGTGTTTCCAGATGTTCCAGAATTGCAACTTCCATCAATACCAGTCAGCATAGGCAATGGTGAAGTAGGATGAAAACTGTTTTCCAAGTGCATCTGGAAGGTAACATGTTTCTTGTGGCTGATAAAATGAGAACTGCAATGTATCTCAGACTTCTATTAGCATATTTTGGGAAGTCAACAAAATCAAATCAAATCCCACGAAAAACATAAAAAGCACCATATGCCAGACTGAATCGTGAAATACCAAGTTACAAGTATCTGATGTAAAACCTTACACCAATGCTTCAAGTTTCTCTCAATGTTCAACACTTGCCGCTTCTCCAAAATCAGAAGAAATGGTAGCAAATGGAGGATTGATTCACTTTGTAG